CTACCTTCCTGGAATCTTACTAACCTACCTACCTGGAATCTTACTAGTCTACTTACCTGGAATCTAACTAGCCTACCTTCCTGGAATCTTACTAACCTACCTACCTGGAATCTTACTAGTCTACTTACCTGGAATCTAACTAACCTACCTATCTGGAATCTTACTAACCTACCTTCCTGGAATCTTACTAACCTACCTACCTGGAATCTTACTAGTCTACTTACCTGGAATCTAACTAGCCTACCTACCTGGAATCTAACTAGCCTACCTACCTGGAATCTTACTAACCTACCTACCTGGAATCTTACTAACCTACCTACCTGGAATCTTACTAGTCTACTTACCTGGAATCTAACTAGCCTACCTACCTGGAATCTTACTAGTCTACTTACCTGGAATCTAACTAGCCTACCTACCTGGAGTTTTACTAACCTACCTACCTGGAGTCTTATTAACCTACCTGGAATCTTTTTATTTGTTTTTTTTTCAAATCTTTTTTATTATATTTTTCCTTCAATAACAAGTATCAAATGACATACGACATCAGTACATACTTAGAAGAGAAAAAAAAAAGAAACATTCAACTACACAGTACACAAACATTTGCACAGAGCGTGGGCACACAGAAACCTCAACGTATCTACATCTGGTAACCCTTTACATTCTTCTTATTACCATCTTGATGAGCCTGTATTACCCTCCTGCACAAACACAACCTCCATCCATTTTTGTCAGCGAGAGTTCCCAATCAATCATCTTGCCCTTTTCCTCTTCTATCTCTGATCTTATTTGGATAAGATACATAATTATTTTTCCCAATTTTCCCATAAGCCAGAGGTCTTATTCGGTAGACATGTGCAATTCGTTTCGGTCCAAACATGAATTCGGACAAATTTCGGGCAATTCGGACATTCGGGTACTTCCGAATGTCCGAATAGCTGAAGTGATGAATTGTTGAAGTGCTGAATTGCCGAGGTCCCTAAGTTCTGAAAATACCGTATTTCTGAAGTGTCGAATTGCCGAAGTTCCGAAGTGCTGAAGTGCCAAAGTTCCAAAGTTGCCGAGGTTCTGAAGTGTCAAAGTTTTGAAGTTCCGAAGCACAGTATTGCCTAAGTACTAATATACTTACCCAGTGAAAGAAGAATGTTACACTGTATACAATTTCAAATAAAAAGTGTACAAACATAGCCAGGATTCAGCTGTAAGCATTTGCAACACTTACAACAATCAAGTAACATTCATTCATATAAAATGTAAGTTACTTAGCCAGTCAGTGTAATGACAGAAATGAATAAGTAGATAACTCCCTAATTCCCACGGTATCAGGGAGTTATCTACCAAAAGGGTGAAAGACCTAAATTGGTCTTTCAGCCAAATTTACTAATACTAAGTAAAAATGACTTAGTATTAGTAAATTATGCCCCTACTCGCTATACCGTGAGTAGGGGCATGTCTGCTCACTGTAAAAAACAAACAAAAAAAAAACACGTCCCCCCTCCCAAGCCCCCTGCTGTGCGAGTGGGGGCTTCTAACCTGAAGGGGGGACCTATTGTCCTCCTCCTGGCCCCCACCCATGAGCGGTGGGTGGGGGCCCTACAGTAAAATAATGGGGGGACCTATTGTCCTCCCCCCGGCCCCCACCCCTGAGCAGCGGGTGGGGGCCCTAAATCAGAATAAGGGGGGGACCTAATGTCCTCCCTCCTGGCCCCCACCCTGAGCGGTGGGTGGGGGCCCTACAGTAAAATAATGGGGGGACCTATTGTCCTCCCCCCGGCCCCCACCCCTGAGCAGCGGGTGGGGGCCCTAAATCAGAATAAGGGGGGGACCTAATGTCCTCCCTCCTGGCCCCCACCCTGAGCGGTGGGTGGGGGCCCTACAGTAAAATAATGGGGGGACCTATTGTCCTCCCCCCGGCCCCCACCCCTGAGCAGCGGGTGGGGGCCCTAAATCAGAATAAGGGGGGGACCTAATGTCCTCCCTCCTGGCCCCCACCCTGAGCGGTGGGTGGGGGCCCTACAGTAAAATAATGGGGGGACCTATTGTCCTCCCCCCGGCCCCCACCTACTACTAAATCTACCTTCCTGGAATCTACTAAAACTACCTTCCTGAATCTTAATAACCTATCACCTGAATCTTACTAACCTACCTTCCTGTAATCTTACTAACCTACCTACCTGCTGGAATCTTTATACTAACCTACCTACCTGGAATCTTACTAACCTACCTTCCTGTAATCTTACTAACCTACCTACCTGGAATCTTACTAACCTACCTTCCTGGAATCTTACTAACCTACCTACCTGGAATCTTACTGCCCTACCTACCTTGAATCTTACTAACCTACCTACCTGGAATCTTACTAACCTAACTACCTTGAATCTTACTAACCTACCTACCTGGAATCTTACTAACCTACTGTGGCAAACCTAGACACTTGGGACTGCCTAAGATAGAATGGTTGTGCCTATTTTCTGTTGTGTACTGCGCGCCGGTATAGTGTGGCGTCTCCGGCTATGTTTAATTTATGCTGTACTGTGTATGTCTGTTCGAATCCTCCCCATTTGTTAGCATTGCTATTAAAACTGACTAAGTTGTATATTTTGAAGTAGAAAGGTAACGGTTTATGTCCTCGTGGTTTTCATTACTGTATGTTACAGCAGGGGCTGTTGGGAGGAGGACCTGGAAACGGTAGTCTCCCTCCAGTGCCCTCAACCAAAACCCCTGCTGCCCATCTTTGGAAACCCCTGTTGAGTGACCTGCTTTAAATATCAGTTATTTTTAATAAAGTGACAGTTGAGTGACCTGCTTTAAATATCAGTCTTTTTGAATAAAAGTGGCAGTTGACTCTCAGACTGTGTTTCGTCTGGTTCTTGGGAGGATTTGGGAATATTGCCTGCTTCCAGCTTTGTACTTGGTTATTGCATTCTACCAGCAGAGATCCTGGGATTATAAAATTGCAGCTCCGCAACAATTGGTGGCAAGCGGCGGGATCCAACCGTACAGCAGGAAAAACGCTGTTATACAATTGGAATTGACATACTGGAAAGCAGAAGGCAATTGATACAGATGCAGAAGTGAATGGGGACGGATTACACCATATTGAAACGGCAAACGTTAAAGGAGCTGTTGGAAGCCAGGGGTAAGATAGCCAGCAATAAGCCTAAAGCAAGACTTATTGCCGAGCTAATGGAAGGAGACCGAGCTCGTAGTGCTACACCCCCAGCAAACATGGAGGAGACCCCATTTGAATGAGAAATGAGGACAAGATTGGCATTTTGGCCCACTCCAGTATCTCCAGAAATTATGACCATAATTTCGGCGGATGCACAGGAGTACGTGATGGCGCAAATGAATCAAGCCTTCTCACCTCAAGCAGAAACCGCTGTTGTTTCAACTGTGGGCCAGGGAAGGCCAAAAATACCACATCATGCATTTAAAACTTTTTGCGAGGATAAAGACGAAATAGATGGATTCTTGTAAGATTTTGAAAGATTGTGTGACTTGCATGATGTAGAGCAAGCTATGTGGGTACCTTTGTTGGCAGGCAAACTGTCTGGGCGTGCAGCAGACGCCTACCGGGCTGTACCCAGAGAGGACAGCAAGAATTATGACAAGGTAAAGCAGGCGCTATTAGAAAGGTATGCCATTACCCCAGAGGCATACCGGCGGAAGTTCCGAGAATTGAAAAAAGGGGACAAAGACTCACATGCGGAGTGGGCACACAAGCTTGACCAAGCCTCACAAGGCTGGATACAAGCCAACAGAGCTACCACCATGGAAGAGTTACGCCAGATGTTGCTACTGGAGCAGTTTTGTAATGGCCTGGCACCAGAGGCTCAAGAATGGGTGAATGACCGAAATCCTCACAACCTAAGCGAAGCGGCACGATTGGCCGACCAACATTATGATGCTAGGAGGCATCATAAAAATAATAACCGAGGGTATGCAAAACCCAACCCGCAACCGTTTCCAGTTATTGCTCCTGCCCCAGCGACAGCACCATCCAGACCAGCACTTGTGGGACAACCTCCCCACTCCCGTTATAATGGCAGGTCCAACATCCAGTGCCATGCCTGTAAGCAATGGGGGCACATAGCCCGGGAGTGCACCCAAAACCGGAGCCGCAAGAACTGGAATCAGCTCCGGCAGAATATGGCCCAGCGGGCAGCTGCTCATTATTATCATGCAGAGCCAACTTTGCCAGGAGTGCCGCTTGAGTCGGCTGATGAACCCCTGGGCGCTTTGCACGATGTAATGTCCATCCATGCTACTGACAACCGACAACCACATTGCCAGACCGTGACTCTGGAAGGGAAAGAGGTACAGGGGCTACGTGATTCCGGCGCTACCTTAACTTTGGTTGCCCCGCATTTGGTGTCAGGATCAGCACATACCGGGGGATCGGTAGCAGTCCGGGTAGCAGGGGGTGCCAAGGTACATCTGAATTGGGGTGCGGGGGAAGGTATGGTGGAGGTGGGGCTGATGCACAAGTTACCAGCTGATGTTGTTTTGGGGAATGACCTGGGGCAAATGACTTCCGCTTTTGTGCCCCAAAGTCCTCGCCATGAGGCATATCCAGTGACCACCCATCAGCAGGCTCGCACCACGGCTTCATCTTCCACACACTCTGAGGCTCAGGTAAGAGACAATGTACCCCGTGTAACCCGTGTTTCCTGGGATACCCCGACTGACTTTGAGGCAGAGGTTAAAAACGATCCCACATGGCAAATTTATAAGGATAAGGCGACAGCTGGTCAGACAGGTTTAGAGGGAGAACAGTATGTATGGGAGAAAAATCTGTTATATCGTGTTGCTGAGCGGGTGGTAGGGAGGTCTGTACATGTGACTAATAAGCAGCTTA